TGCTCAAACTTTGAACAAGTGGTACATTTTTAAAGAGAAATGAGATTAAAATGGTAAATTTATTTTACTAAAAATTTTAAAATATAATATAATTTAATTAAATTTTTTAAAATTTTTCTTACATTTATAAGAATATGCATGATAATAATATGCATGGGGATATTATTAGTAAAATTCAAGTTGGATGGTTGAAGTGGAGAAACGCATCGGGCTTGTTGTGTGATAGAAAAGTCCCCCTCAAACAACAACAACAACATCAAGCCTTGGTCCCTTTACGTTTGGTCGGCTACATGAATTCTTTTTCTCCATTGTGCCATGTTAAAGGTCAAATTCTCGCTTAAATCTAGTAAAGAAAGACCATTTCTATTATTTTCTAACCAAGTCTTTTTAGGTCTACCTCTACTTTTCGTAACATAATTCAAATCTAATACCTCAACTTTCCTAATTGGGTCATCAGAAGGCCGTTGTTTTATGTGACCAAACCATCTAAGGCGACCCTCTCTAATCTATATTCCACTGGCGCTGCTAAACCCTTTTCATGTATATGCTTATTTCGTATCCTATCTCTAAAGGTAAAGCCACTCATCCACCTGAGCATCCTCATCTCTGCAACACTTAACTTAGTATTATGTTTCTCTTTTAATGGCTAACATTCGGCACCATAAAGCATTGCAGGTCTCACCATCATCTTCTAGAGTTTTCCCTTAAATTTGAGGGGGATGTTTCTATCACACAACAAGCCCGATGCATTCCTCCACTTCAACCATCCAACTTGAGTTCTGCTGATAATATCTCCATCTATTTCACCATCACTCTGAACTATAGATCCAAGATATCTAAAACATGTACTCTTATTAATGACTTGCTTGCCCAAAGTCACAATCCCCTCACTAGGTCTATTACTAATAAAATTACACTCTATATATTCAATTTTAGATCTACTCAGGCGAAAACCTTTAGACTCTAAGGTTGACCTCCAAAATTCAACAAAAAACATACACTAAGGTACATCCTCTTGCAAATGTCTAGTTAGAACATCCATGACTAAAGCAAAAAGATATGGACTTAAGGCTGATCCTTGATGTAATCCAACCGAAATAGGAAAATATTTGGTCAAACCACCTTGTTTTTGAACACAAGTAATAGCTCCTGCATACATATCTTTATTGATTTGAATATAAGCGTTATTAACTCCTTTCTTTTCAAGAACTCTTCATAGCACTTCTCTTGGAACTTTATCATATGCTTTCTCTAAATTAATAAATATCATATGTAGATCCTCCTTATTCTCTCTATATTTCTCCATCAAACCTCTCAATAAATGTATGGCTTCAATAGTAGACCTACCCGACATGAATCCAAATTGATTTTGAGAAACATTAGTATCACGCTGCAGCCTATGCTCCATAACTCGCAGCCATAACTTTAAAGTACGACACATTAACTTAATTCCTCTATAATTTGCACAATCTTAAGCATCACCTTTATTCTTAAAAATAAGAATTAACACACTCATTCTCCACTCATCTGACATCTTTTGTCTTCAAAACAGTATTAAAAAGTTTAATAAGCCACTCATTTATTAGAATATCATTAGGTCCAACAGCTTTTTGTTACGCGTGAACCGGCCCAGGAGGGGCCGGCTGGACCCGGTTCAGCCCGGGTCTACACCAGGCGGAGGCGGAAAAGCCCAGAGGAGGGGGCGGACAAGGTGGACCCCACTTGGGGCTGATTTAATGAGGTGGGAGGGAAATTTTTGAATGCAAAGGGGTGTTTAGGTAATTTGTAGGAATCCTTTATTGTTAATTAGGAGGATTAGGAGGGAGAGAGGATCATCTTGAATTTGAATGCAATTTGAGATCTAGGGTTTTCTTGCTTGGGCTCTTGGCGTTGCCGGAGAAGATCGGAGAGTTGTTCTTCCTCTCGAATCGAAGAACATTGTATCTTGCTTTTGCTTTGATCATCTACTAGTGGAATATAAGTCCATTGAACGTTTTCTCTCAGTTTTCCTACGATTTTCTACTGTTTTCATACGTTTTGGGCAGAATTCCTGTAGAAAACAGCAACTTTCTTGTTGTTTTCTCCACGTGGAGAGATAGGAATACTTGGATCTAAGTATTTCCTATCACTTTTCCACACTTCATTTTTTAAAGGCCTCTTTAACTTAAGTTTTACTAATACGTCGATAAATATAAAAATCTTTATTTTCATTTAGGGTGCTAAGGTCACTAAAGTCAATCGTATTTTCACATTCATCATTAAAAGTTTAGCGAATTATCTCATCCACCTTTGTTGAATATTATCTTTTAAGAAATGTACTTTTTGATATTCATACTTGAACTAAATCCTTACTATTCCTATCTCTTTGTTTGGCTAATTTATACATGTATTTTTCTCCCTCCTTAGTATCTAAGCTATTATATAAATCATTAAAAGCTAAGATCTTTGCATCACATATTGCTTTCTTAGATTTCTTATGTGCCTATTTATATCTTTTCCAATTATTTGAAATTCTACATCTAAATCAATTTTATGACAAATATTCTTATTTTTTATCTTTTCTTGCACATGTGGATTTCACCACTAATTATTTTTATTATTAGAGGAGTTTTTCCCTTTGATACTCCAAGCACATCTTTTGCAATATTTTTAATATCACTAGCCATTTTATCTTATATAATATTAGCATCCTCATGCACAGACAAAATCTTAAGATCTAAAATCTCTCACAAAAATATTTTTGTTATTATTCTTTAAATGCCTCCATCTAATCCTAGAATATTATTTTACTTTATTTTTTATTTTCTGTCCCTTTACCTTAAAGTCCAAAACTAATAATCAATGTTGGGTACATAAATTTTTACTCGGAATAACTTTACATTCTTTTCAATCTAAACGAGCTAATTTTCTTATAAGAAAATAATCAATCTGAGTTTTACTATATCCATTTTTATAAGTGATGAGATGCTCATCTATTTTCTTAAAAAAATCATAAGCTAAAGAAAAATCTAATATGGTCTCACCACCTTCATTTGTCGTTCCAAACTCATGGCCACCATGAATGCTTTTGAATTCATCCACCTTTCTACTAACATGCCCATTTAATCACCCTCCAATAAAAACTCCTTCAAGAGGTATTTTTTGTATTAATTCTTCTTAGTTATTCCAAAATTTTAATTTTGAACTCATATCCAAACATACTTGAGGAGCATAAACACTTATAATATTAACAATCTTAGCATCAACAACAATTTTTAAAGCTATAATTCTATCTCTAATTCTATTAATTTTTATAACATTGTCCTTCAAACTCTTATCGATAATCGCACCTACATCATTTCTAGTGCGACTCTTACCCAAATACCATAATTTAAATCCTAAACTATCAATCTCCTTAGCCTTCTCTCCAACCCATTTAGTTTCTTGAAAGCACAAAATATTTGTCTTCCTATTAATCATAATTATATATTAATTCAATTAATTTTTTTATAAGAGAATTTATATTCCAAGTTCATATCATAATTTTTGTTTTATGGACTAGCTTTTTTGCCCATATCTGTCCTTGTTGTGGGAACCCTTGCATATTTAACATTGCATCCGGGCAAGGGTGGGTTGCGTGCGGGACTGTGTGAAAATGACTGCTTGCAAATGCGGGCGCAAGAGTGCGGCTGCGGGCTAGGGTGGGACATTGCGAGTGCACGACTGTGCAGGTGCCAGCGAGGGTGTAACCACGAACTGGTGAGGGTGAGGCCGCATCGCCGTGAGCGTGCGCACAATTGCTGGCAGCGGGTGAAAGTGTTAAGAGTGCAACTGCGCGGGTGCGTGAGTTCGGGGCGAGGCTCCATGCGGTGGCGACTAGTGAGGTCGGACGGTGACTTGAGTCAAATCCGAGTCAAATTCATGTTACAGGTTGAGCCGAATCCAACCTGTTTTTTCAAATAGGTCAAAAATTGGAACTTATATATTAAGAAGATATGAGACATATATATTCATTGGAATTCCTTTTATCTCTGAATCTTAATCTATAGCATGGTATGTGTTCCCAAAGCTAAGAGTGAGTGTTAAATTAAATTGGGGTTTCTGTTGACTTGGTTACTTGGGGTGTTCGATTCCCTTGAGTATAATGAATAACAATTTATCTCCCGTATTTTTATTCGAAGTAAAAGGCAACACAATTTTTATTTTTCAATTGAAGAAATAAATGAACTTTTGATAATATTGCCATTTGGCAAGCTGTTGATGGATGTTTAATTATGTGCATATTTCTTCAACTACTCACCTCTCCTTTATATATATATATATATATTCAATTATGTGTCTTTCTTTTTGTTGATTTTATACAACAATATATGATTTTTTTTTAATTTTAAATATATATTTAATATTAGAATTTTAAAATAATAATAAATATTTATTTATTTTAATCGTGTATTAACCTGCTCGTCAAATCTTCATCATTCGCATGTGTTGAATTCTTCCTCGTTCGATGCATATAAAATTTTAATTTTAATTTTTATTGATAAAAAATCTCTACCAATATGGAAAGTCTATTTAAGTTTTTTAGATGTTCTGAATGCATCGACATTGTTTTTTTTGCAAACTGGCATCGTCCAGGTAATTTCGACTTTTTGTCAACGTGCTTTGGACAGCTTTTGCCTGGGTCCATAAATTTTCATTTGTCGCTTTACCATGTTTGCTCGAGTTGACTTGAAATTTCAAACAAGTTATAGAGGTCAACATGGATATTTAAGAAAGAATGAATATGATCATTGCAATTCTTATTTGTGTTATCTCTGTTTTAATGATTGGTTTTCTGCGTGTTTCTGATGAAAATAAGTCATAGCATCTAAAGGTATAATACCTTTGGAAGCCCTTGTGGGAAAGTAATAGAAGAAGCATAATGCATTTGCTCTTTTCAATCTTCAGTGCCACTACGCATTTGAGGCTTAATTTATTTTTGTAATTTGGTTGTCTGATATTTTTCTTGATTTTGACATTAGATTCTGAAATAATTGAAGGGCCATCAAGAATATCACTTAGTTGTCCAATAAGGTATGCTGAGTATTTCCTTTACATATTTCTTGCTGCATCTTCTTAAACATGCAAATTAATGCGAGGCATTCTAGACTTTGGCATTATTGTCTATTACTTCCTATTTAAAAGTCGTTAGATGTGATACATGTAAATTACTGAGAGATATTCTGGCGCTTAGCATTGTGATTTTTATTCCTAGTAATGTTGAATCGGGCTGTGATCCCAATAATTTATCTTTTTTTCCTGGTTTAGTTATTAATTTGCATCCTAAAAGTGAAAAAACGGGAATGTTAATATGGATATATAGTAATATAAGGCAGTATAGCTTGAAGAATAAATATATTGCAAGGACTTGGGGAGCATCTATTGAAGATGAGGAAGTAAAAAATAAATTCAGGTCATTTGGATATGTACAAAAATGATAGAAAATGTGCTCATAAGACGAGTGGATAAAATTACTGCTAAAAGATTAGGTAGAAAAATCTGTAGATAGTAGATAGAGTAACTTTGATAGAACTAGTAGTACCAAAAGATTTGTATTGTTTTGGTTTAAATGCTAACAGAAAACTCTGCCCACCTTAAAAAATCTTGCAACATGATTTATCCTTGAGAAATGAAAATCATACAACTTAACAATCTATGGCATCTTGAGCCAGCTATGCACAGTGGCATACTTCTGGTTCAATCTCTTTAGTCGGAATATTGGTTGCACAAGTACCACTGATTTAGCTTGGGATATTTTTGAACATGTTGGTTAGCCACTGTGAAAAGAACTGTCAATCCTTTAAGTTCATTTGGAGTTTATCAAAAATTTCAGTAAAAAGTAAAACTTGATGCTGCTATAATTCTAGTGGCTTTAAAAAAAATTTCAATTTTCAAGGATTGTTGGCTAGTAAGAATTCATTGATTAGATTGTGAAGTTGTTTGATTTTCATATTTTCTTTTGGCATGGTGGGTGGGTGGTGCTTGGCTTTAGCACCTTTCTCACAGTTGTTGAAGCTTTCAGTTGGCCTGACAGGCTCCTCGTAAAACTGGAATAGTTTGAGAAGTATGGGTTAGCACATTAGCATTATATACTTAGTTCCATACTGTAGTATGGGTTGGAATTAAAGCTATACTTGATGCAGTTACATACTATAATTTAGATTTTTTTATATCACCTTTGTTTAGTAACCTGCTTAATCTTTTGATTTGGGCATTATGATATCATTACATTGTACGTGTGCAGTTTCAAACGAATGAAAACTCCAGTTAAAGGTCACCTTTGCAAGCACCACCAGGTAAAATTTTTAATGAATCTCATTTAGTTTTTTTCCGACAGAATCAAAAGCTGTATGACACCATGTTGTATTTTCAGTGTTTTGATTATGAAAACTTCTTGGAAATGAACTCAAGGAAGCCAAAATGGCGTTGTCCTCATTGTAACCAGCCTGTCTGCATGATTGACCTGCGTGTTGATCGAAATATGGTTAAGGTAAGTGATAAACTTGACTAGTGCGGAATGTGCGTTTCAAAATAACTAAGCGTTTCTTTGTTACAGATATTAGAGGAAGTGGGAGAAGATGTTACTGAAGTTGTTATTCATGCTGATGGGTCATGGAATGTAGTTGCTGAACAAGGGAGATGTTCTGATGAATTGTACGATGGAACCCAAGTTCATGATCATGCTGACAGCATGGAGTGTGAAACAACTAAGTCTAAAATTTCAATGGCAGATCTGGTGGACCTAACGATGGAAGAAGATGACAATTATGATACAACACAGGCAACAATAAGACGAGAGGCATCCTTGGATGGTTGTGCAAGCCAAAGTTGTGACCATATCTTGGAAATTGAAGACAGGAAACCTTTGATTGATTTTGGATGTATTCCAGTGCCTCAGCTTCTTCCCAATCCAGCACTTGCCAACCAAGCATCCAATCCTCCTCAGGTACCAGTGTTTCAGATAGGAGACAGGGTTCAACAAGCATTCATGCCATCCTATGCCACTAATGGATCTATGGCTTCTGTTGGATCTCCTCACATGGGAAGTTCACAATCACTTCCACCAAATGTGTTGGGTAATCTTGTTCATTCAGATGCTTTTTCTCCTCTACTTGATCAAACCCCATTAGCAGTCCATGCTCTTCCAGTTGCCAATAATTTAACCGAGAGGATAATTGGAAGGCCACCCAGAAATGCAGATAGAGCCCCTGTTGCAGTTCAGGCTCTTCCCGTGCCACAACAAACGCACAACACATCTCGAAGATTACATGCTAATTTACCTGATAATCAATTAGCCTCTAAAAATTTATCTCCTAGGCAATATCAGACAGTTAATGTATCAAACCACCTGGAGAACTTCAGTGGAGGAATAGGTAACATGGACATGCAACAAGGCATAAGAACTGCAGATACATCTGCAATGCAGGTCTTACTTTTGAACCATGATAATAATTTATCTTACAATGCAACTTTTACTTTTTTATGTTTTGATTTAGTACTTTTTTTTACGCTTTCACTTCTCATAAGACATTTAAACTTTGGTATTCGGGTAGGAGTCGTACTAGAAATGGTATAGGTGTTATTATAGATAAGAGTTTAAAGGATAATAATATAAAAATTAATAGGATTGGAGATAAAATTATAGCTTTAAAGATTGTTGTTGATAATAAGATTGTTAATATTATAAGTGTTTATGCTCCTCAAGTAGGTTTGGATATGAATTCTAAATTAAATTTTTGGAATGACTTAGAAGAATTAATACAAAATATACCTCTTAAAGAAAGAGTTTTTATTGGAGGAGATTTTAAATGAACATGTTGGTAGAGAGGAAGATGATTTTAAAAGCATTCATGGTGGCCATGGATTTGGAACGACGAATGAAGGTGTCAAGACCATATTGGATTTTTGTTTAGCTTATGATTTTTTAATTGCTAATACCTTATTTAAGAAAAGAAATGAGCATCTCATCACTTATAAAAATGGATATAATACAACCCAGATTGACTATTTTCTTATTAGAAAATTAAATCGTTTAAATTGCAAAGATTGTAAAGTTATTCCAAGTGAAAATTTATGTACCCAACATCGATTATTAGTTTTGGACTTTAAGATAAAGGGGCATAAAATAAAAAATAAAGTAAAACAATTTTCTAGGATTAGATGGGGGCATTTAAAGAATATTAACAAAAATATTTTTGGAAATAAGAATTTAGATCTTAAGATTTTGTCTGTGCATGAGGATGCTAATATTATGTGGGAAAAAGTGGCTAGTGATATTAAGAATATTGCAAAAGATGTCCTTGGAGTATCAAAGGGAAAAGCTCCCAATAGTAAAAATAGTTGGTGGTGGAATCCTAATGTGCAAGAAAAAATTAAAAATAAGAAGCTTTGTTATAAAAATTGGTTTAATTTTAAAAATTCTGATAATTGAGAAATATATAAAATGGCTCGTAAGGATGCTAAGAAAGTAATATGCGATGCAAAGGCATTAGCTTTTAGTGATTTATATAATAGATTAGATACTAAAGAGGGAGAAAGATATATGTATAAGTTAGCCAAACAAAGAGATAGGAGTAGTAAGGATTTAGTTCAAGTGAAGTGTATTAAAGATGAGCTATTACTTGTGTTCAATCACAAGGTGGATTGACCAAGTATTTTCCTATTTCGGTTGGGTTACATCAAGGATCAGCCTTAAGCCCATATCTTTTTGCTTTAGTCTTGGATGTTCTCACTAGACATTTGCAAGAGGATGTACCTTGGTGTATGCTTTTTGCTGATGATATTCTTCTTGTTGATAAGACTAGAGAGGGAGTTGAAGGTAAACTTGAATTATGGAGGTCAACCTTAGAGTCTAAAGGTTTTCGCTTGAGTAGATCTAAAACGGAATATATGGAGTGTAATTTTAGTAGTAATAGACCTAGTGAGGGGATTGTGATTTTGGGCGATCAAGTCATTAATAAGAGTATACGTTTTAGATATCTTGGATCTATTTTTAGAGTGATGGTGAAATAGATGGGGATATTATCAGCAGAATTCAAGTTGGATGGTTGAAGTGGAGGAATGCATCGGGCTTGTTATGTGATAGAAATGTACCCCTCAAACTTAAGGGAAAATTCTATAAGATGGTAGTGAGGCCTGCAATGCTTTATGGTGCCGAATGTTGGCCTTTGAAAGAGAAGCATAATACTAAGTTAAGTGTGGCAGAGATGAGGATGCTCAGGTGGATGAGTGGCTTTACCCTTAGAGATAGGATACGAAATGAGCATATACGTGAAAAGGTTGTAGTAGCTCCAGTAGAAGATAAGATTAGAGAAAGTCGCCTTAGATGGTTTGGTCACATAAAACGGCGGCCTTGCGATGACCCGGTTAGGAGAGTAGAGGTATTAGATTTGACTTATGTTAAGAAAGGTAGGGGTAGACCTAAAAAGACTTGGTTAGAAAATATTAGGAATGACCTTTCTTTATTAGATTTAAACGAAAATTTGACTTTTAATAGGACACAATGGAGAAAAAGGATTCATGTAGCCGACCCCACGTAGTGGGATAAAGGCTTGATGTTGTTGTTGTTGTTGTTGTTGTTGTTTCACTTCTCATAAGTATCATTTCTGAGTGAGTTTTACCTTTCTGTCCTTTGGTGAGCTGAAGTGCATCTAAAATTTAACCGTTATTTTTAATATTTTGCAAGATGTGGTGTACGGTATGTTAAATTTCAAAAGGATTCTCAAAGTGTTGCTAAAGGCTAATTATCCCAACCCTTTAGTTAAATAAATGTGTTAACAAAGAACATAAGTTAAAGCTTATGCCTTCCCGGCAAAAGAATTGCCAAATGCATCTGCATAAAATAAAAAGCATGTAGTGAGGGTAATGTCACCTTTGGAAGAGCTTTCTCTCCCAAAAACCCATCTCTCCATTTGAGAGGTGCACAGTGTTTTGCTTTTATTACCTTATCTATCGCTTAAATATATCACTTAAGAAGCATTTATTAAAATTACAATGAACTACAGTTCAGCCAAATGGATTTTGGCGACTCTTCAGTTACTATCATAGCAGCCACTTATCAGATCTTGTATTAACGGGAGTTTTATACATCGGTTACATATTATTATAATTTTCACATTTGATAAAGTTGACATTCTACTTCCAGGAGTCGTTTTAAATTTTCAATCACTCATTTTCCTATTATTTTGCTTGTCATCATTACATGCCAAACTTAATATGTTATCAAACAACATTTACCTTCCTTCACTCAGAATTGGGTGTTCAGCCAAATGAATTTTGGCTCCTGGTTGCAGATCCTATTGATCACTTCGTATGAACCTGACCGTGTATGCTGGCCCGATAATGGTTTTAAATTCTACCTATATTGTTTGATTTAATGCGTCTTGTGATTTGACCTTTTTTGGGATTTCTGTTATGCTAGAACTAAAATTTTCCCTTTTTGCTTTGGGTGTAGGATCATATTCTGAATGAAGCGGTGCTGCAGCAAGGGATTGGGCTACCATCACCTAGAACATTAAACAGTAGATCACCTTTTAGTCATCGGAGGGGACCAAGCGATGTCGATACATTTCGATCTTCGCTTCAACCTTCACCCTTCTCTCGAAATTCTCTCCAAACACCGCCGGGCTTCAGGTCACCTCAATCCATGAGCCAAGCCATGAATCTTCCGTCGCAATCGCCTAGTCTTCCGTCTGCGGTTCGGCAAGCATCTCATAATACAATTGGCCTTGCAGCTAGTAACTTTGGGAATCAGCGAAACCACCTTACTCAAGCTTCTCTGCCACCAGAGTCTTTGAGATCACTGTCCACATCCACAGCCAATTTAATGCAAGCTCGGGATAACTCGAGAGTGGCCGGTACAGATCGATGGAGGAGCTTGACGACAGGGGGAATGCCTTCCCCACTTTCAAGGTCAGAGGGGATTCCAGAGCTTCCACATGAGCAAAATTGGAGGCCAACTGGTAGAATGAGGGGCAGCTTAACTGGTAGTGATTATTCTGCTGTCATTAGTAACTATATGCCCCCTTTGAACCAGTCAGGCACAGCTAGGCCTTCAACTGTTCCCTCTTCCTCTGATCAAGTTTCAGCATTAATTGCCAACAATCTCATGGCTCGTGGAGCAGTGAACCATCAAACTAGCTCTAGTCAGGATAATGTTGGCTCTCAACTAGGAGATGCAAGGATTTAACATGCTGAGATACTGGAGATCCATATTTAAAATGTATGTTCTCACCTGTAGATTCATCAATCATTGTGCATATTACATGTAATCCTTGTGATGGGGATATTAGAGCATGGAGGGTTTATCATTGTAGAGGTCGGAGAACTACTGTCTTGATTGAGTCTTTATATTTTTTTTTGTTTTCACGTGTTGTAGGAGACTTATGTGATGTTATTTATTTTATTACAGTTTTACCCTCACTTGAGGGAGCTTTTGTTTAGTTTGGCCAAGGGCCTTCTAGTCTTTTATTTCTTTCATGTTTCTGGTGCCTATGCATATGGCCCATTGTTTTCTTGTAGGGATGATGAATATTTGATATAAAATTTATGGTTATATGTTTCATCTTTTCTAGATGAGTTGAGTTTGTGTGTGAAGTCCTTTTAGAGAAAGACAAAGAAATACCTAATAGCTTGTTAGCTCTTGGTTGATATCATCTCCCTATCCATCTCTTCTTCTCCTTCCCTAGCTGTCCAATAATCCCCACCACTGTAGCAACCTGCTGCCCTCAATCCACCACCTCCTCTCTTCCTTTCATTCTACCCGTCTCCATCTCCCCAAAACCCTAGATCCTTGGGCTTCCCAATCTTGTAATTAATTCACATTAATTGAACATTTGTCTCAATTAATTGTAACCTTTGGGAACCCACAACAGCTTTAACTTTTCTCTCTTCCCAAAGCAACCATTTTAACTCATGTTAATTAGTCTAAATTGATTCACCTATTTTTAATGTTTAGCTTTTATTTGTTATTTTCTTGTTATCACATTATCTAATAGTTCAAATTTTCTTATTGTTCTTAATGTTTTATGAAGTTTATTTTGTTGTCTTTGATGTTATCTTAATCTTCATACAATTTCTGCATGCCATGTCAATTAGTTACAAGAAGTAGGCTCAAGACCTCAAACTTAGTTTAGGAAATTGTATGTTTAAGTGCTGCCCCCTTAAACTACAACAATCCTACCTCTCCAAAATTGATTTTAGGAGGGTGTTTCCCATTGTTTGCTTGTTGTCCACCAAAACCTACATCATATAGCAAGCCTTAGGTGTGTTATCCCATTAGTCTAAGTGTTTTTCTTTACACCCTAGTAGCCCTAAGTGTCACATAGTGTTTTCCCCATGGACCCGGAACAAATTCAGCGGACCTTAAACGTTTTAGTTGGTAAAATTGGCGCCCTAACTCAGGTTTTTAGGGAAGAACAAGCCGATGCGATCGAATTCCATCGCCTAAGTACGGAAAGGCTTGACAATCTGGATAGGGCAAGAAGTATGCCTTCACTTTACACCCCGTCTAAAATTCCTTCAATGGTTGGTGATGACTTGAACCCCAATGATTGATACTCCCTTGTTCCCCCTCATCCACAATAACCTAGGTATGACCAAAACCCCCATCCTGGTCATAACCATATTTTCAGCCAGGGAGTGCCCCCGACACATGGTGAACACCCATGTGGACAACACCTTGCCCCTGTTGGTTGGCCATACCATGAGCATCTCCATGGTATGATCCCATGCATCATCCTGATGCTCCTTTGCTGAAAAACATTAGGGTTTGTTCCCCAGATCTTTCTAGATTGAATCAAGGGTATGGATAGTTTTTCCAAGTAGTATAATATTTCTAATGAGCGAAAAGTTAGATTTGCTGAAATGAAGCTTGTTGGTAGAGCTAGTCAATATTGAACTAATTTAGAGAATTTTAGAGAATCTCGAGGTGAATATCTTGTCACTGATTGTAGAACTATGAAGTGGGAACTAAGGCAGAAATACCTCCCACCATCATACTTGCCAAGACTATTGGATAGGAGGAACAAGTTAACCCAGGGTAGCAAATCTATAAAAGACTATCTCAGCATTTGATGATTATATGATACGATGTAGTGGAGAGACCACCACTACTCATGCATAGATCCTATCCATGTTTTGTGCAGGGTTGTGTGAAGATATCTGCAACGAATTATTTGTTAGGAATATTACCACCTTAGAGAGTGCCTATAGTATAGTCTTGGATATGGAAGAATCTAGACCACACCACACCATTTGTCACAATGAGTCTAAACCCCCCTTTAGACCTCCTATTGAATCGACCCCACATGTTTCTTCTTCTGGGTCGACTCCAAGCTATCCCAGCCGACCCCCTTCTAACACACCCCAAACTCGGCTTGATCTGAAGGGAAAGTCTCCCATGGTGGATTCACCTAAATCCCACTCCGGGACTAAGTGCTTCAGGTGCCATGGGTATGACCACATCACTGCCCAGTGCTCTCGCCCTTATAAGTTGCACATTATTGAAGAGGTATCTGAGGAAGACCTTGAGCTTGAGGCTGACCTCACTTACATGTAGATCCTAATAGTGAGTTCTTTGAGGATGATGAGGATGATATAGTGGTCATCCATTGCATCTAGAGATTTGATCCATCTCCCATCTGTGTGGTGAGATGTGCTCTGTCACACCCACGATCTGTTGATGACTGCATAGGACTTCCATTTTTCACACCTACACCAAACTGAAAGATAAAAATTGGAAAGTCATCATCGATGGTGGCAATTGCATTAATGTTGTCTCCTTTAGCTTGGTGACCCGCCTTACATTGTCTGTTGTTCCCCACCCCAATCCATATAATGTAGCTTGGGTCAACTCCACTGCTTTGGAGGTGAAGGAATGAAGCCTCATACCCATCTCCTTTTCTGATTATAAGGAAAATATTTGGTGTGATATCCTTATTATGGATGTGAGTCAAGTTATCTTTGGCCGCCCATGGCTTTTTGATAACGATATACACATTTTTTGTCGTTCAAACATCTTTGTGTTTGAACATGTTGGCAAGAAGATCAAGCTCTTGCCTAGTCAGCCAAAGTCTAAGGATGAACCTAAATCCAACCCTGTGAAACCTAGTAAAGGGCTCAACCTTGTATCTGCCAAGATTATTGGTTCATGTGTGGCCCAATGCGCACTCCTTTATGCCTTAGTGGGTGAACATGTGAAAAATTGGGATTCTAAATTGCATATAGCTGAGTTTTCCTATAATAATTTCGTGAATCGTACTATGGGTCTGAATCCAACTTAGATAGTCTATGGTTTCAAACCTAGGCAGCCTATAGATTTGATTCCCATAAGTCCTAGGTCTAGAGTTAATGAGTCTGCATCATCATTTACGTCCTATTTGCATGATTTGCATAAAGAGATGTTAACTAGTATAAATCAAAGAAATGTAACTTATAAACTTCAGACATATATTATGAAGCTATTCATAACTTTTGAAGTAAGTGATTATGTGATGGTTTGGATTCATCCGTAACGGTTCCTGAAAGGGGCTATTAAGAAACTACATACTAAGAATGCTGTATTTTTTAGAGTGGTGAAGAAAATTAATGAAAAGGCTTATATGGTGGATATTCCTTCAGATTTTGGCATAAGTCCATTTAATATAGAGGATCTAGTATGGGGGACTTGATTTTAACCCACCCAATCCATTTGCTGAGCCTTGTGTGAACCCACTTAGTGAGCATCCTTGCTTACCTCCACTACCAAATTTACCCAATTCACCCCAAGCGGATAAAATTGATATCATTTTGAATGATGAAAATATTTCTACTAAGGATGGAGAAAGAAGAAGATATTTGGTTAGGTGGAAGGATAAGCCGGAGATCAAAGATACATAGCTTGAGCGTGAGGAGTTGCAGAGGATCGACCCGAATTTATTGGAGCGGTATGAGAGTTCACATGAAACTGACTCGAGAGGGTTGAGTTTTTTCCCACCCTGAAAGAATGATGAGGAAATCAGAGCTTGAAGGGTTTATCACTGTAGAGATCAGAGATCTCTGCCTTGATTGAGTCTTTATATTTTTTAGTCTTCATGTGTTGTAGGAGACTTATGTGATGTTATTTATTTTATTACTGTTTTACCCTCACTTGAGGGAGCTTCTGTGTTGTTTGGCCAAGGGCCTTCTAGTCTTTTATTTCTTTCATGTTTTTGGTGCCTATATATATGGCCTCTGATGCACCGACACTTCATTTTAAGAGGGCATGCAGTGTCGGACACGGACACGCGTCAGACACGACGAGGACACATGTCAGACACATCATTAGTGTGTCTCATTTAAAAAAAATTAAACCGGACACATGTGTCGGACACACGTGTCCGGCTATTGTATAAATAAATAAATAAATAAATAAAAACTTTAATCCTGTTATTTCATATTAGCTGGTTCACGCCCGAGTCTTCACTTCGCCTTAATCCTGTATTCCTATTCGTATTCGTGGTCTTCCCGAGTGATTGAGGCGAGCAGCGATCGGCTAGAGATCGCACCCTTGGTCTTCCCTTTCGGTCGTAAGCAACAAGCCATCCTCCTCAGTTTCTGCATGAAGTTAAGGGAAGCCGACGCCAAGCCACAGAAAAATTTTCAAACCTGTAAGTTGATTTCACCATTTTTTCTCAATTTGTCATTTATCTTCATTTATCAATGATTCTATAGATTTGTGATTAGAAGAGCATTTTTTTTAATTATCTTATTTGTTTTGTATTTAAATTACTCGTATAATAAAATTTTGTTTATTTAATGCATTTTTGTTGCGCTTTTACTGTGCTTTTGATGCACATTTACTGTGCTTTTGATGTGCTTTCACTGCGCTTTTGCTGTGATTTCACTACACTTTCACTGCGCTTTTACTGCGCGACCTAATCGGGTAGGTCGAACCCTGCTAGGGGGCAGGACCCCTTTGGACCCCCGGCATAGCTACAAATTTTTAATTGTTTTAGAATATGCCACCCAATTTTATTAAGCCTTTATTACTTTTACTTCACTAGTGAATTTAAAAGCAAAATGAGCACTAGTGCTGGTGGGAGTGGTCAAAATAGCCATATGTAGAAACTGATAAGTCATTATAGATTCATGTTATAAAATTAGGAAAAATTTTTGAAAGAGGAGGGAATTTATCATTCAAATGCAATTATTGTGGTGACACCTACAAAAGATCTTATTCTAGGGTGAAAACACATCTACTTAAGATTTCTGGTTATGAAATTAAAATGTGTCATAAGATTACTATATCACAGTTGATTGAATTGAACAGACAAGTTGATGAAGCTGAATCTAGCATCAAAAGGGCACTTCTTAAAGAGATATCTTTGTCATCTACCCATGGTTCATCCCATACTTCTTCCTCATCTGTTAGAGTTGATCATTCATTATCATATAGAAATGAATGATTTTATTCAAAGAAAAGAAAAGGAGTTGCCATTAGTGCTTTAGAGAAGGCGTTTAACATACAACAGCGAGAGGAATTGGATGGTGAAATTGTAAGGATATTTTTTTCAATTAGACTTCCTTTCAACCTTACAAGAAATT